CGACGCCAGCAGGATTTGAACCTGCGCCCTCAAAGAGGAACAGATGATCAGAACTGGAGTTCGAATCTGTCGCCGTAACCACTTGGCTATAGCGCCTTGGCAGGAAGTTGTGGCGTGGACTACAGGTCTATGGCTGCAAAGGCTGCAACCGATCATGTTCGGGGCCTTGGTGCTAATTTGTGGACTTCCGACAATAAAGACTCGCAAGCCAGTACGGCACAATAATGCAGGCATATCTTCCACAAGGCGCTATAGCCAAGTGGTTACGGCGACAGATTAGAAATCTGTTCCTCTTTGAGGGCGCAGGTTCGAATCCTGCTGGCGTCGCTCCAAGAATTTTTTCTCTTGTTATATTCTTTAAACTAACAGCAAGTCGTAATGAGTAGGCCTCATCGTCAACATCTTCAACGGGGGCATAGCTCAGTTGGGAGAGCAGTAGACTGAAGAAATTCGTATTCTAAAGGTCCCGCGTTCGATCCGCGGTGCCCCCATCTTTTAGTTTTTCCGATGTTTTCCTACAAATTTTTGAATTCATTATCTGGTATAACATGGATTACAGGCTATGCGAGATGGTGATTTCCATCAATGAATTGTATATTTTCCGTAGTTTTTCTCGGGGTCAAATACCTGAGGATGATTATTAGTACACAAGGTAGTTAATGTAATCCACGGGCTCACCTCCCATCGCGATGCGGGGAATATATGCTTGTTACGCTGGTACCAGCCTCTCTCAACCACTTTGCCAGCGTGGGATTCATCTTTTTCTTTGGTGGCATCGGCCAGGAGACGAATATCGTCATGCACGTCGAAGTTGAACAAAGGGCCCGATTTTCCTCGAGCCTTGTTAACTATGAAATCATAGAAGGTATAATGCTGGGAGAATAATGAGTAAGAGAGCAAGCACAGAGAGATATCGGCCCACATGTGGTATGATAAGGTCCTCCTATACATACATAACTCAGCACTAGAACGTTTGGTAGTGTGGCTCATACATACCTTGATGTACATGAGGTTATCAACACTGATGCCCCGTAGTTCCGGGAATTGTTGCCTGCATTTCTCGAGGAATGTAGCCACTTCATCACCTTTCTTGCACTGTGAAAGGGCGTCACTTGCGAGTGGATAAATCGAGCGCCGTTGTACTCACTACCACGCTTTTTCTGTGCCCGCTGCCGTCCCAATAAGAGTATGTGATTTCTATATCCTCCTTTTTCATTTGCTCTTGTTTCGCAAGCCACTCAACTCGCAGACGCTCTCTTTCTTTGCGCTCCGCTTCTTCGCGGTCACGGTCGGGCAGGAATGAAGTATCCACATCGGGGTTCTTGTGCGAGCGACTTCGCTTACTCGGTGGTAGGTCTCCTTCGTCTTCCTTTTCCTTTTCCTTCGAGCTTTCTCGTGATCCATCCTCGTCGTTCTCTTCGTCATCTAGCGCAAAGGAGAGAGTGGCCTTGGCAACCTTTTTGCGTTTCTTATTTTTCTTCGCGTCATCCCTAAACACATTCTCCAAACACTGTAAGCAGTGGTCCAGTTGACGCGAAGACAGTGGAAGATGCCGAAGGAACATGGGGACATACTTGAGTTCATTGGTGCGTGCCGCTTCTCGGAGTTTTTGCTCTTCAAGTTCTTTGCGCCTCTGCTGAAAGTCCTCTAACCTCACCAACCCGACGGTACTGTTTTTGAGAGACTCTTCCATAGAATCATTCTGGCCAACGAAGCGGTTCGTGGAGGGACGTGCTTTCTCTGTCTCGTTGATAAGACTCTGTTTCTGACGCTCATATTCTTCCCGGGCTTGAAGGCGTTGCTTGACAAGTGCATCCTCTCTGCGGCCTTCCATCTTGTTTGAAGCCATGGCGAGCGGTGAGTGAGTACGAGGTGAATGTCAGGATGAGAGTGTGACCAGGTCACGGACTTTGGTGGACGCGTGACGAAATAACTTTCTCTCCCTCCAGTTCCGATGGTGCATATTCTCGGAGTGCAGTTAAGAGACCATTGTCTCGCCAGAGTAAGTGTGGTGATGCTGCAGGTCTACAGCCGAACTAACTTCATTCTTCTGATGTCCAGGTTGCCCTTATCCGCTTCTATGGCGTTGGTCTAAAGACAGCCCACCGCCTCTGCGCGCGTCTGCAGATTCATGACCGCGCAAAAATCAAAGACTTGACTCCTTTGCAAGTCACTGCCCTCACATCCTTCCTCTCCTCTCCTGCAACCGCGCCACCCCTCCCTAAATATCCCCTCGCGTCCCCAAACTACGTCGCACCACCTCCGTCCACACCCATTCAAGATATCCAAGCTAAGATCACTGCCCAGTGGGAAGAAATGGCGAAACAACGGAAGGCTGCACCACTGCCACAACGTAACCCACAGAAGAAGCCTTATGTCGAGCCTTTGAAGAACCTCAAGATCGAATCGGAGCTGAGGAGGGAGATTCGGGAGAATATTGCTCACCAGAGGATGATTGGCAGTTATGTCGGAAAGCGGCACGCTATGCACCTTCCTGTAAGAGGACAGAATACCCAGAGCAACGCAAAGACGGCAAGGAAGCTCAACCAGCTGGACCGGTTCTAAACTATTGGTCCCTGGCTGTCCCGAAAACTTGGTCATACAGTAGCCGGGAAGCCGTAGTTGTGGTTTGGTACTGTCCTATGCAGGTTCAGGCCGCGTTTTGGTGTCCTGATAGATTATTGTACCTTGATTTATGCAAAACTAATTTCTGTCTTCAAAGCTTGTGACATGAATGCCTGTGTGACAACTATGATAATGTTCGTCCGTCTCAAAGTATCATCTATCATAGCACCGTTGGACACCCTGTAAGCTATCCGATCCATGGCGACGAAGAACTACAAGACCATCGGTGAGGACCTCTGGAAAGGTCGAACAGAAAAGATTGTGAGAAATCCTCTCCCCATTTCCCTTCTTCCATCTAACTCACTCAGAATGCAGAGCTGTTTGCACTCACGTACGGGGCCTTGGTAGTCCAACTCATTCAGGATTATGAAGACTACGATGAGGTCAACAAGGAGCTTGAGAAGATGGGATATAACATTGGCACGCGTCTCATTGAAGATTTTCTAGCCAAGTCGAATCTGGGTAGATGTGCAGACTTTAAAGAAACAGGCGAGGCCATCGCAAAGGTGTGTATGCATTGACACGACATCTCGTTCAACGCTAATATGGCTTCAGGTCGGGTTCAAGGCGTTCTTAAATATAACACCGACTGTAACGCATGGCATTCTACAACCTGCTTCTCCACGACCAGATTCGACAAGTGGCCAACCAGGGGGATCGTGGTTCACGCTGACACTAGACGAGAATCCCTTATCTGAGTTTGTAGAACTCCCAGATGAGGTATTGGAGGGCGGCTTGTGGTTTAGCAATGTCCTGTGCGGTGTCATTCGAGGCGCCTTAGAGATGGTATGTTTGGTCTCGATGCGCCTACGACGCGAAACTCACACAGCTTGTTGCTCCAAGGTACAAATGCAGGTACAGGCGGAATTTATATCGGACGTCCTTCGTGGTGATGAAAGCACCGAAATTCGTGTCAGACTGGTGAAATACCTGGAGGAAGAGGTCCCTGTTGGGGATGATTAGATTTCAACCTTGAACCCCAAACCTTTGTCTTTGTATTATACCGAGCAAAAGAACGGCTGCTTTATCGAAACATTTGAGCGGACAGTAGCCCTGCTACCCATGCTCTTATACTACTTATTGGAAGCGCAACTGAACGCTAAACATAACGAGGGTGTCCTTTGTCAGGGGTCGATTACCGGATTCAACGAAATAGACATCGAGATAAATTTTGATCGCAACTCTGTTTTCACTAAACCCACCAAAATGTCGAGACCTGAACTTGTGGCACCCCCAGAAATCGTATGGATCTCGCTCATATATCTCTTCTGCGACCTTCTAAGTACCTGCCCCCGTAATTCAGTATTATGGCGACACTGAGGCCAAGAAATACACACAAAAGTGCGTTACGGTTGTACTTTCCGCGCAGAAAGTCATTAAACCTACGAAGTACCCGGAATCAACAGATACAGGCAGACATGACATACAGGGCTCTAGAACTGCTGAGCCTACCACCAGGCAGTCCTGCTTTCCTCCTAGATATTGGTTGCGGTTCCGGGTTGTCTGGGGAGATCTTGGACGAGGAAGGTTATACTTGGGTGGGGGTAGATATCGCTCCTAGCATGCTGGGTGCGTTCCTTCTCTGTTGGATGCGCTCCAGAAAAATCTCAGCTGTACCCTCACAGAGGTCGCACTGGAACGAGAAGTAGAAGGTGATCTCTTCTTGCAAGATATTGGCCAAGGGCTGGGCTTCCGACCAGGAAGTTTTGACGGCGCTATCAGGTTCGTTATCTCAACCATACGGCCTAGGCTCATATTAACAGAAGACTCCTAGTATATCGGTTCTACAATGGCTACTCAACGCCGAAACGTCTCACCCAACATCATCACCTCCACACCGACTTCAGCGTTTCTTCACAACCCTCCACTCGGCACTCCGTAATCCCTCTCGGGCCGTCTTTCAATTCTATCCTTCATCAGATGACCAAATCCAGCTGATAACATCTATCGCTCAGAAGGCTGGATTTGGTGGAGGTATCGTCGTTGATTATCCAAATTCGAAGAAAGCAAAGAAAGTGTTTTTGTGTTTGTTTGTTGGAGGCGGAGGGCAGCAAGAGGTCCCGAAGGGCCTGGAAGGGGAGGAGGACGACGGGAGGGCGATGTTTGAGAGACGAAGGGAGAGGGAAAGGTCGAGAGGGAAGAATGGGAAACGGAAGAGCCTTAAGGATAAGGATTGGATTTTGAAAAAGAAAGAGGTCGGTTATCATTTTGTCGCCCGCCCAAACTGTTCTCAAAGCTTCTCTGCAGCTGTATCGAAAACGGGGCAAAGAGGATATCCCAAGGGACTCAAAATATACAGGACGGAAGCGCAAACCTGTTTTCTGAACCTACTCAGTGAGCCCGCACATTCGGACTAGTATGCGCATCTATTAGTTGTATACTGTATAGATGTATATTATAGAACAGGTTTATGGGAAAACAAGTCACGACAAGATGTGACAGCATCTTTAGCTTCGTGGCGAATGAAGTGG